CAGACAAACATATAAGACAATTTATAAAATTAGAGTGCACTCAAATATATTTAGCCAAATTGAATTGTAATATCCTTTTTATGATTATTAGATTTATAATTGTATGACTGGTCAAAAACTTTGGAATAGTCAATTAACAGAGATCTCTCGAGATTAGAATCAGAAGGAATGAAAGCACTTTTTCGGGGCCGGCAACCTCAGGAAAAGGGTTGAGCCCTGCCAGGATGTTGGCCTGAAGTGGCCGTTCCCTTTAGCAGTGCTTGTTTCTTTTGTTTCCATTTCCAATTAAACCATAACATATCCAAAGGATTTGAGAGGTGTGTATTTTCAGATTTATCTTGTTTATTTTTTATTTTCATTTTTTCAGTAAGAGCTATCAGAGAGAAAGGAGGCCAGTCCTCATAATTACACTTAGTTGCCTCCGCCTCCAGGTTTACAGCATCGGAGGGGTCAATGGGTTTATCTAAACCTTCCATAAGAGGGGGGCTGAAGAAGGGCACTCAGTTTTTTTATCTATGTACAAAATGTCCTCCGGACTAGAGGCAGCCACATCTTTTGGCAAATTACCCACTAAAGTCCCTTGACGAGGATCTAAGCTCTCTTTGATAAGACCCCAAAGGCTAAACACATCAACAGGCACTTTGGAAGGCCCGTGGCCGGCATAATAATCCTGTAATTTTTTTCCTACCTTATTCCATAATTCTAAACTAACAGTTCCCTCCGTGGGGAACCAGCGGCAGACCTTTTCAACAAACTCCAAAAAGGCACAGAGCTGTTGATGCCTGAGGCGTGCACCTCAGGCCTGTAACATATTTTTAAGCGTTTGAGCGAACAGCGCCCTGCTACTGCCTTGCCCCATACTCTCCTGAGTATTATCGCCACCTGTCACTTACTGAGCGCCCTCGTATTCCCGCGGCGACCTTCACTCTGGTATCCCCCGTATTCAGCTCCCTGTTGGGGCACCACCTGCGACAGACCGGCCATCACCAGTGGAAAGGTTCCTGAATGGGGGAAAGGAGGACTGAGAAAATAAGACAAAAATACAGAGTCGGGAGGGCTCCCAAGACTGAGCAAGCAAGTTTATTTACACCTCTCTTTTATACACTCAGTGAGTTAGGTCATTAATCATGACCTTTATACAAAAAACATCTGCTTCCTTGTTTACTAGTTTTTTGAACATTCCCTGCCCTCAAGGGCTACTTTGTTTCTTGAGGTTACAGAACATTCATCTTGTTTTTAAGGCCACCTCTGAAGGTAAGCATCGGAGGAGTTGGCAAGGACACGGTTCCCCATAACATAATCTCCTAACTATTTACAACGGAGGGTAAACTTAAAATGGAGCTTCTTTGGCTGACACCGCTCCCCACATCTTTCCTTTTACTGATAAGGTTTGCTAAGGGTTTGTCAATTTTGTTTATTCTTTTGAAGATCCAACTCTTGGTTTCATTGATTTTTTTTGTCTCATTCTCATAGTCTCCATTGTATTGATTTCTGCGCTGATCTTTATAATTTCCTCCTTTCTATGGGCTTTGAGTTTGTCCTGCTCTTCTTTTTTAGAAGCTTGAGGTTCAACATCAGGTTGTTTAGTTGGGCTTGCTTGTTTTTCCTAATATGAGTATTCATTGCTATGAATTTCCCTCGTAAGACTGCTTTAATTGTGTCCCATAGATTCTGATATGTTGTATTGTCATTGTCATGTAATTGAAGGAACTGTCTGATTTCTTCTTTAATTTCCTCAGTGACCCATTGCTTATACAGAAGTGTGTTGTTCAATTTCCATTGGTTTATGAAATTTTTCCAGTTTCTTTTGCCATTGATCTCCAATTTCAACGCAATGTGGTCTGATAATGTACAGGGGATAACTTCAATTCCTTTGCACTTACTTAAACATGTTCTGTGAGCCAGTATGTGGTCTATTTTGGAGAACGATCCATGTATAGCTGAAAAGAATGTGTATTCTGATTTTGTGGGGGTGCAACACTATTTAAACATCTGTTCATTTGTTCAAGAGTTTGATTGATTTCTAGTATTTCATTGCTCGTTTTTTGTCTAGTTAATCTATTTGTGACAATGTGGAATTGAGGCCCCCCACTACTATTGTATTAGTGCTTTATATGGTTTTTCATGTCCATTAGTATTTGTTTTATATAGTTGGGTGCACTAGTTTTTGGTGCATAGATATTTATGATTGTCATCTATTCTGTTGTATTGTTCCCTTTACAAGGATGTAATGTCCTTTGTCTCTCTTAATCAGTGTGGGTTTGAAATCTAGTTGATTTGCAAAGAGGACAGCTACTCTTGCTTTTTTTCAGGTTCCTGTCACATGGAGTATTGTTTTCCACCCTTTAAGTTTCAGTCTGTGAGCTTCTTTTTGAATTAAGTGTATTTCTTGTATGCAGCATATTGTTGGATCTTGCTTCTTGACCCATTCTGTCAGTCTATTTCTTTTGATTGGAGAGTTGAGACCATTAAATTTGATTGTTATAACTTATACGTATTGAGTTATCATTGTCATGACTTTTCATTTTTGTTGGATTCTCCCCTTAGCTTTTAATTTCTTGTCATGCCCAGTGGATTCATTCTGCTGGGTTTCCTGGGGTTGTGATCCTCATTGTCTTTTCCTAGGATTTTGTCTAAAATGTTTTGGAGTGCTGGTTTGGTATTCATGAAGTTTCTAAGGTGCTCTTTGTCATGAAAGTATCTTATTTCACCTTCAATTTTGAAAGATAGTTTTGCAGGGTACATCAATCTGAGTAGGAGGTTGTTTTCCTTTAATGGTTGAAATATATCACTCCAAGCTCTCCTTGCCTTGAGGGTTTCCACTGAGAAGTCTGGTTTGATTCTGATGAGTTTTCCTTTGTATGTGATTTATTTCTTTTCTCTAACTGCTTGTAGAATTTTGTTCTTCTGATGAGTTTCTGGAATCTTAACTATTATATGTCTATGTGTAGATTTTTTTGATCAAGGCTAGTTGGAGTCCTATGTGCCTCACTTATCTGTATGTCAAGTTCTTTTCCCCTGCTTGGGAAGTTTTCTGTCATCACTTCTCTGAACAGTTTTTTTTTTTTTTATATATCATCTGCACTCTCTCCTTTTTCCTCATTGATTCCAATCCATCTTATGTTATTCTTTGCATTGTCTATCAGCTGCTGGATTGATTTCTTGTGGTCCCTTATAATTTTAAAGAATTTTTTCTTTTCCTGGTCATGAATTGGAATCTTATCTTCTATATCTGAAATTCAATCTTCACATTAGCTCATTCTGCTGCATAGACTTTTGATGGAGTTTTTAATCTCCTGGAAATCTGTTTGCATCTGTTTTATGAATTCCATTTGTTTCCTATGTTGCAATTTCAGCATGTTCCTTCGCTCCTTTTTTTTGTTTTATCTATGTCCTCTCTAGATTTATTAATCATGTGTTTCACTACAGGCACAATCTCTGCTGTTATGTGAGAAATGATTTCTGATTTTATTTTGTCCAGATCCTCTTTTGTTGCCAGTTCAGGGAGTGCAGGTGGTTGAGTATCAGTGTGTTCCATCTCAGTTGCCTTTGGGGTTGCTGTAGATGATCTGGAAGTCGGGTTCTGAGGCTTCTTTATGTATCTCCTTATTTCCATGGGGGGATGGCGGGGTGCTGGCCATACCAGTGTAGCCCACCTCCTCTGTGCTGGGAATTTTGGCACACCTACCCAGGAGCCTCTTCTGTTCTGGGAGCTGTGGCTTGTTGAACCAGAAGCCTCGTCTGTGCTGGAAGCTGTGGCTCTTGATCTGGAAGCCTCCTCTATGCTGGGAGCTGTGGCACACCCACCCAGAATCCTCTTCTGTTCTGGGAGCTGTGGCTCATTGACCCAGAAGTCTCCTCTGGGCTGGGGGCTGTGGCATGCCTACCCAGAAGCCTCCTCTGCACTGGGCTATTCAATACATTTTAAAGGATTATATATCTATTCTGCCAAAAAATGTATACATCAGGAAAAGAAAAACTTGCATACATATTTTATTACTAAATTTATTGAGACATCATAATATTAATACAAGTTATCTTTGACTTCTACAATTACAAAAGGTGCTCGAAGTGGTGGCCATTAACTTCCAGAAATTTAGAACTGGTGAAATGGGCTATATGCCCAACATATTGGTAACTTCTGCAGTAAGCAGATGAAAATTGGAAATTAGTAACTCAATTGTTGAACATTAATATAAAGGATAAACAATATTTGATAAACTAGATATAGCCCTGGGCATCCGTGAACATTGCAAACCAAAGGACCTTCACAAATATAATTAGAGGTAAATAAACTGATAGTAGACTGATGTGTACTGTTAATATAACTGTACAACCACACAGTGAAGCTCTATGCTGAAAGTAAAGTAAAATAAATACCTGGTAAAATATGAATAAGCCCTCAAAAAAACTAATGAAATAAATAATACACAGAGGAAACATATTTTGATTCTATTTATGTGAAATTCCCAGTAAAGGAAAGCAGATAGTGACTCCCTCTATCTGTGGTGTGCGCAGGAGAGACTGGGAACTTTGGGAGACAAGGGGAATGTTCTACAGTTGGATTGTGCTGATGTTTTATATATTTATGTGTCATCTTAGAATCACTGGTTTACATGTGGATGAAATCAACTACATGTAAATTATGACTCATTAAAGCTGTTAAAAATTTCAAGAATCATTTCTTGGCTTTTTGGATAATATCAGGAGTAAAAATAAAGAGGAGAATTTAAAAGTGCTCACATAATGGTTGACCATATAATTAGCATTTTACAGTTAAACAGATCAGTGATATTTAAAAATGTCCTATACACTCAAAAACTTAATTGATTACTTGGTATTTTAGTTTCCTAATATCTGCTGTAACAATTAACCAAACTAGATGTGCTGAAACAAGAGTAATTTATGCATTAATAGTTTTAGTGGACCACTCAACATGTTAGGACCATACTTTTCTTGGATTCTCTCATGGAGAAGCCGTTTTTGTCTTCTAGATTCTGTGGGCTCAGATATCCTTTGTTTCATTGCATCTTTACTCAACTTTATGATAAGATATTCACATAACCTCTTTTGTCCATTTCTATCTGTGTCTTCTCATACAAAGAACCAGTTATTTATTTGATGGAAGGTGCTCAATAATCTCACCTTAACTATTTACATCTGAAAGCCTTATTTCCAAGTAAGGTTACACTGTGAATGTACAGTTGGATATAGATTTCAGAGGTTCACCATTCACCTGATGATATTCCTCATAACAGTATTAACTTTTTAAAATGAAAGAATATTATTTAAAATGCCAAACAAATGTATTCAATAATTATTGTACAAATGTTATAAAAGTATCCTTTGGTTGATTCAATAAATTAATTCCTTGCAGTTGTTTCCACTAGGGTCAAGTATTGAGTTATTTAATTATTTTTTTAATAATGTATTTGCATTCTCGATGGATATTCACCTGGTCAAAAATACTATTTGGAGAGAGAATGCCTAGGATCAATGCCAACACATTAAATAATTGACTTGTTTTGTTTTCTGACCAAAGAGTTTAATTTTCTCAGCAACTTGAGCCAATTTATCTCTGCTCATAGCTACAGCCTCACACTCTGCTTTAGAAAAGCATTTCTCACAAGTTCCCCAGGAAATTAATAGACATGCTGTGAATAATAGGTTCTTTAATTAAATATAGTCAGAGAAAAACTAGGTTCAACAAACCAGGTTTCTTTATTGTCAAACTTCAAATCACTTTTATTTTGCTAAACTTAGGATACTCCTATGATGGGATCAGTTATTTGGTGTTTTACAAACTTATTTGAAAATAAACCCTTATTGGATGGATTTCCACAGACACCTGTGGAAAGTCCTGTGCCTGTATCATTCCACAGCAGAAAGACTTTGATGTCCTCACTCTGGAAAAGACCACTCCAAGCTCAGGATCCACATGAAGGAACTGATCTCCTTTCTTTTTTCTAAATTTAATTTTCTATCATTTTCCCAGTTAATAGTCATTAGATTTTTATAATCAGGTGCTGAAAATTTTGTCTTTATAAACTAGAAACAACTCCCTTAAATTTTTCAATTCTTCTTACTGAACAGTGTTGGACCTTAAACCCCAAACTATACTTGCTCAGTGTCTGACTGCAAACTTCCTAACATGTATTATGTTTCTTGATATTGGAACAACACCAAGGACAGCAGTTGATCCTGCTGCAGTTTACTCAGTTGGTCCCAAGATCTTTCCTGGGATCTTATTACCAGCTCCAACTTTCCACTTCCAGATTTTTAAATTCAATATTCAATTCTTCCTCACTGCATGCCTTCTGAGAAATTTCACCACCTCACCCATTTCATTTCTCCTCCATGTATTTTATTAAAGCCAGATGCATTTTTTCACCATCTCCCATTTTAAATGATTTTGAAAAATAAATTGGATATAAAAATATGATGATAGATAGTTTCACATTTTTCCCAAAGTAAGCTATTTTATTCCTTCAGTAAACATAAATCACACTATTATGATGTGTCTCTAGAAGTAAGAAATTCAATGAAAAAACAGTAGTGACAAAATATCCCAGCACTTACACAGTTGCATTTTGGTGGGGCAGAAAGACAATAATCAAGACAAATACAGCACATTTATCAGTGGTAAGTTGTAAGGAAAATAAATTGCCTCAGTAAAAGAGACATAAGTGGAAAAGAGGTTGCAGTACCAGGACGGTGAACAGGCTGCTCCTCATAAGAAGGTAACTTTGCATAAGGACTTGAGAGAGGTAAGGGACCCTATTGTACTTATCTGGATGAAAGTCATTGTAAAGAAAAGGAATAAATGCTTGCCAAGAATTTTCCATATAAAGAACATCTAGAAAATTCCCTGTGATCCTTCAACTCTAATGCTGGTAAAAATAAAATACTGAAATTTTTACAGAGAAAATTTGTTTTGCCTAAAAATGAAAAATACAAGAGAAATCAAATTATACCACAAACCATGTATTTATATCATCTTTCTTTATTCCTAAAATTCTGCCAAAATCTTTAGACGGCAGATCACTTCAGAATCAATCATTTTCAGGATGATTGAGATTCATTCTGCATCTTACATTTATGTTGTCATTTAGACGAATTTTCCAAGGGAGATTTCTCTGAGAATTTTCTGTGCATACTGTTCATGAAGGACTGCTCCTCTCCTTCCCCAAGAGTGCTGAAGCATCAGACTCTGGACAGTGCAGTTAGCAGCAGTACATTAGCCATATATAGCACTCCCCTCCAAGGGGCAATCAAGGTGGTGTTGAGTGACACACTCAATAACAGAGAGAGAAAGTAGGGATTAAGGGAGGCAGGCTTTGTAGTCTCAGGAGGGTGGGCTGACCCCTGGATCCCACTGGTGTTGTGACCCAATAGTTTCTCGTGCAGGCAGAGATCGTGTAGAGTGTAGGTAATTCAGCTGCTTGGGAACCAGCTGGATGGGGAGTCCTTCCTGCCAGGTCCTTTCTATCAAGAAAGGAAGATTTAAGCATTGGATTATGAGGCTTAAAGAATTCAAAGACAGAACACAGGATTGGGGGCCTTATAATGCAGAGTTACTCTGTTGTTATCAATTTCTCTGAGCTGTCCAAAATCATAGAGGGGATTGTAATATTTGAAGATGTACCGGTGTATCATTGTTTGTACTATATTTACTTATGAATAAAGCTGCCACTCCTTTCTCTTTATGTTTGCTTATATGTAGCTTTTTCTTCAAAATTACCTACTCTAGTTCTATTGAGACAAGCTACTTTTGTGATTATAGTCAGACATTATTCATATTACCTTCACTATTTGTAATATTATCTCTTCTTCTGAATACTTCAGAATATATCTGGTTGCTAAGATTCTGCCTTTTTTTTTCATTTTGCTCATTCTTTGAGCAACTGCATCCTTGTTTCAGTTAACAAAGGCAGACATCCTGACATTCTCTACTCTTCACAGTTATTCTCATTTTTGTACTAGATATTTACAACTTCTGGCCTCATAGATTCTTCAAAGCAGCATTAATAAAACTGAAATTATCTTTTTCCCCTAATAGTATTTCTCATTGAAGAGTCCAACTGTCTTCTGATTATTCAAGCTTGAAAAGCAATTACAAAGGCTTTCCTGGGTCAGCCTCACCGGGAAAGCTGCATTCCCCTCCCAGGTGTGGTATACAGCCAATGCAGTTTTGTCTCAAATGGGGCAGCAGTAAAAACCCAGACTTCTCTGGTCACTGTGCTCTTCTCCTATTTGCCTTTCAGCTCAGGGACCCTTATATGAAGCTTGAGAAGCGTGTCTTCTTCAGGCACCTCAGCTGAAGCCTCCTTGTTGGAGGTAAGCGGGGTGCAGGAGATTGAGGACAAATTTCCCTGCTTTACTTGGTACCCAGTGCATTTCTACACGGACCCTGAACACACACAACTCACTTTCAGGACTATCAAATTGCAAGATATTATGGCCTTCTCAACAGGGATGATTCCCTGTCTATCCTGATCCATTTGACTTTCCTCTGGGGTACAATTCTATGAGGGAACATGGAACAGGAGGAGACTGAGCTTTCTTTGGCTTAAGCTTCTTAGTTCTATGATAGAATCACAGTAAGTGACTACCCCTTCCATATTTGGATTTTTGCTTTCTAGGCTACTCTGAACTATCAGCTCAGCTCTGTCTTACTTCACCTGAGTCCCTCATATTTACATATATTATTTCACCACCGATGTGTCTGACTCCCTGGATGATTACTACCCACTACCAGGTTGTTCAAGCTTTGTCCAGTTAGATGGAAATACTATTGATTAAAATTACTTTTTCTCATAAGCACTTCTAGCATAACCTTTAATTCCAGTCTTCATTTTCATTTCTCTACCCTCTGCAAAGAGATATTAACTATACCCTGGATTATCTACAAATCTCTCCTTTTAACTCTAATCATAGTGATAAAATCCTAAGTAGAAAATCCATGAAACATCTTTACATCCTCCCAAATCACTGCTGTAGAGTAAAGTTTTGGTTTATCACCCTGGTTTTGACATATTTACATTTTCCACATTCTTCATTTACCAGTCTCTTCTATTTAGTTTATTCTCCAGAGGACTAAACTTTTCCCATCTCCATAATGTGATTTTATAATTTTTATTATTGATTTAATTGTATTTCAGTGGGTATAGTTATGCTACCCTCTTCACTTGACATGTTCAAGGACCTCCTTACCCTAAAGAAATCATCTCATTTATCAAATCCAGGAAGTAAACTTTCATTGTTTCTCTTGTGTAAAACAAACCAGAATAATCAGCAGCAAGAGACTCTTGTTAAAGAGTTTCCCGACAGAGGACCAGCAAGGTCTCACTACGTGCCCACTTGCCCAGAAAAAAAAGTGAAATTAAAGAGCATCCCAGCACCTCTCAGAGTAGAAGGAGCAAGGAAACGGATTCTTCCTGTGAGTCTCTGGAGGGAATAAATCCTATCAAAGTCTCCTTTTCTGTCCAGTGAAATGAATTTCAAAATTCTTTCTTTGAGCTGTGAGAGAATACATTTACGTTCTTTAAGCCACTAAACATATGGTGACTTGCTCTAACGGTAATGAGAAAAGAATACGAAATTATACGGAAACTTAGCCAAACTGCTTGGTTTCTTTCAGCCAACAAACCCGAGTGACTTTTCTATCTTTAAATGGTTTAAAAAATAAAATGAAGAATTATTTTCTGGGATTTGTGAAATGTGTATGGATTTCACATTTAATTGTCCACATTTAAAGATTTATTGAAACAGGCAGAGGGTCACTGACAAAAGTCTTTCATGCTCCAGATCAGAGTTTTGTAGTCAGTAAAGAGAATCTTGCCAAACTGAAAACATGTACTCTCTGGCCACTTATAGAAAAAGGTTGCTATCTCCACACTTAATTATCTTATAATTATCACTGTTGTGTCTGTATCTTACAATAAATTTTTAATTAGTTGAGGACTAGAACTTTACGTACAGGCCAAGTTAAACCAATCTTCACAAAATAGGTAAAATAAATATTTTTCTGCCTCTGTCTTTTAAAGAATTGCATTCCAGCAGCTCAAATACTAAAATAATTATGCACTACCTTGTCATAAGTTTTCTAATTTCAAGACTTTGTAGTTTAATTTTTCCTAAATGGCAAAGGCAATTAAAAATGAATAAATTATTTGGTCCAAATTCCTTTATATCATATAGTGAATGAGATCAAGGTGTCTTGCAATTGGGACATTTTAAAATTATTAAAAATAGCATGTTAGAAATCATAAAATGAATAAAAACAAAATAATCAATGTGAGTAAAGAGACAGCAACAAAAAGAAAAGTGGCATTGTTTTCATATAAAGAACTTTAAAAATTCTAAATAATTTTTAAGGACCACAGTTCAGTTCAAAAAAACAATGATTTTTAAGTTTGAATTGAGAATACTTGAAAGTTAAGTATGTATGTGTGTGTGTGTATATATATATATACATATATATACATATATATATATACATATATATATACATATATATATATATATATTTTTTTGTATTGGGGATCAAACTCAGGACCTTGCACTTCTGAGGCAGGCACAGCGCCACTGAGCTAAATCCCCTGCCCAAGTATTTATATTTTTAAACATGGTAGGTATAGGCTAATTAAAGAAAAAAGATCATGAATTATTATCCAATATACTATATGATTTAATAAATTATTGAAGAGTTCAAAGTTTATATTCTTTTATATACATGCTTTGTTGCTAATTGACTTTTACTAAAAGACAAAGTTGTAATTAGTAGTTATTGAAGCACTCATTCTCAAAGGTCATGAAACCCTACAGATTGCAGTGTGAAAACTTCCTCATGAGATATAGTTATTTCTGAAGTCATCATAAAACCAAACTTTGTTCTTTATCAACATATGAAGTTTAAAGTCTGTACTAATGCAAAATGGATATTCATTTCTATAAGAGGCTTCTAAAGAGGAAAAAAAGTCAAACACTCCTTCGTGAAAAAAATGACAAACTTGCAAACTTTAATAATATCTTACTAGTTTCTAAGTTTAAAATTCCCATTAAACTTTTGAACTTGGAGAACTATACAGATAATTTAATTATTCTTTTTCTCATGGGATTAAATGACTTTTTCAAAATTCCACAGGGGCATATGTGCTGAACTCTCAATTCCTTTTATAATATACGTTATTATCTCCTTTTTTTACAAGAAGACAAAATTTTCTTTTTTTGTAGACAAAAATACAAATTATATTTTCATTTGCCAAGGGTAGAAGGCATTTTTTTTCTGTATTAGGAAATCATAGTTTCTGGGGTTGCCAACCTATGTTCTCACAATCAGTGGAAAAACAGCTATGGGAAGAGTATATAAAATCTGATCTTCAACTTCCTAAGTGAAGTCTCAATTTATTTTATAAACGGAGTCTGCTTATATATACCTTATGTTGCTATTAGGAGGACTATGGTTTATGATTTTCTATTTCTGCAAACACTGATACAAAACCAAAGGTTTGAAACTGTTACTTAAATGAATATAAAATTAAAATGAGGTTATTTACCCTTGGTCAACTTAGAATTTCATTTCAGTTCTGTTGTCTGTTACAGGATCTTTGAATAAAAACTGCGTGGCTATGTGATTGATTATATATGGGTATATATATACCTATATATGTACAAACATATATACATATATTACATATATATATACATAGAACATGTAACCATAACATATATGTAGATGTATACATATATGTGTAAATATATAATGTTATGCATAGCTGATTATTTTATATTGTATTTCTTTTATTTTGTGGTTCCTTAATTTATTGTAGAATATTTTCAAATGTTCTCAGTGAGGCAGCATATAGGTTAGTAAGTATAGGATGCCTTTAATTTGACCACTGACCCATTTGATAATCAAATTTTAATGAATTACTTCAACACTGTGTGATTTTGTGAAATTATTTCACCAAAATGCTTTTTTAAGTTTTAACTGAGATAGTGAATAAAGTATCTAACATTTAAAAAGGCAAAAAGTTTCTATATTTAGTATATCACATATATGACTGTTAACTGATAAAAATTTTTCAAATATGAGCTTTGTTACATCTTTTAAGAATAAAGCATCAAAGTCTGATCGAAGGGCATGTAAAAGGATTGTGTTACTAGGTCCACAAAAATGAAAAAGAAAAATAAAGGCAAATTATTAAGATGACCTATGCTGCAGAATAGCTTGCTTTCTCTGATCATTAAAGAATTAAATTGAGAAAAGCCAAGAGTGTGGCATCAATCTGAATTAGTACAATAAACTTTTTGTCCAGACCATATTCAGACTTTAGCCTAGGTGCTCTAGAAATTGCAACTAGCCTTCATTGTAACTGGCCTTCTAACAGTTTATTTAGACATATAATGAAAATAATATACAAAAATATACTAATTCACAATCAGCACAACCATTGGTATCTTTATCTCCACAGAGAGGTATT